GACCGACCGGAGGAGTCCACGCAGAATCCTTTTTTTTTGTAGTGCTGGTAGGGGGGATTCTGTGGTATGCTGTTCAGAGGTATGTTGGAAATATTCTTTTAGTCGGAGACGTCGAAAGTAGTCCACGAAAGCTTATGCGCTAATAAATTTGTTAGTCTCTAAGGTGCCACAAGTACTCCTGTTCCTTTTGCGGATACAGACTAACACGGCTGCTACTCTGAAAAGTGTTTCTCTACGATCCGCAGTGATAATAAAACCACAAGCAGCGAACATAAAGAGCAAAGAGATGCAACCACATTAATTACTGACTGGAATACAGAGCAAGTCAGTTACAATAGGCTGGTGCGTGGCATCATGTGAATTAATCATCATCAGAGCCTGACACAAGGCGATTACCATCTGCAAATCCCAGGTGAGTCTGAATGGTGTCCGTGATTTCCAGCCTCCAGCCAATCTAAACCCTGCATCAAACAAGTGTGAAAAGCTCCGACCTTGTCTCAGTGGGTCCCGCACTTCCTCGTGGATTTTGCTAGCCTCAGACGCTCACTGTGACCCTCCATGTAGTCCTTCTCTCTCTAGAGGCAAGGCTCACAGCCTACTGAGCCATTTTCATCATAAGCCAGCAAGTGAGGTGAGGATAAGCTACCCTTCCTCACACAGTCTCTGTTGTCTCCCAGTCTCAGTGATTAGTTGGGGAGGGGAGAGGGGAACCCGGGCCCACCCTCTATTCTGGGCTCCAGCCCAGGGACCCTGATAGTAGCAGTTCTTGGTAGCTGACTTTTTGGAAACAGGACGAGTATGATTCCCTGGGCCACTTCCCCACAGCAGCCCCCACTTCCTCAATATCTACGTCACCCTTGCCTCGGGGCCTCCTTCCTTGTGCCTGATACGGTTTGTACTGCTCCGTTTCTCCAGCAGAGTGGCTTCCTCCTACAGCTCCTGACACGCGCGCCCACCTGACTAACTGGGAGGCTTTTAACTAGTTTCAGCCAGCCCCTCATTGGCTTCAGGTGTCCCAATCAACCTAGCTGTCTTCCCTGCTTTCTGGAAGGATCTTAATTGGCCCCAGGTGTCTTAATTGACCTGGAGCAACTTCCATTTGCTTAACCTAGTAACAGGGATTTTTTTTAGCCTTGGGCTAATATATCTGTCTCCCACTACTTTCCTATAGCCATCTGGCCTTGCCCCATCACACTAGGAAATCAGCAGCAGCTCAAACGGCAGCTCAGGGATATAAGAAGAATCTCATATCAGTGATTTAATATTAAATCACTGAAGTGAGATTCATCAGCCAGATGTTTCCAAACCCTGCTCAGGGTACAATTTAGTTACAGGGTTACTAATAGCCGCTAGCTAAACTCTGGTAAGGGACTAGTTAAATGGATGTGCCCGGAAGACAAGATCCCCAGAGCAGATCAATGGGATTGAATCAATGGAGTTAAGTCCATTTACACTAGCTGAAGATCTGTGCTCAGGCGTTTCTAACCGTGTCTGTTTCCCTTGCGCTCAGGGACCCGCCTAAGAGCAGCATTGAGTTGAGAGCTGAGTTCATGGCAGCTGAGCAGGTTACAAGTCTCAGGTCGGTGTCTTACTGCTCAGAAATCTATTGTTAATCATGTCCTTTTAATGAATTGTGTTCACATGGTCAGGGTGGAACTGGTCTGACCCAGCACTGAATGGCAAAGGGAAAAAGACTTGGGGAAAGAACAAAACCTGGATGTTGCTGGTTCCAAATGCACTATTTTCTGATCACATGTTTGCACTGTGATTACAGCTCTGCTGGCTTCTCATGGTCAGACTCTGCACCGGTTTGCACCGCATGCAATAGGCCACATCCTCAGCTGGTGTCAGTCGCTCCATGGGACTCAGGAATCTCCACTGATTTACACAGAGAAAGTTCAAGTATATTTTAAAATCTTGTCGGATGTTTTTAATTAACATAGATCAGGACTTTCTGAACTGGTATTTGCCCTGACGCTGTCCCTTAACTTTCCCATCTGGGGCCTGGCTGGTAAAAAAAAAATGATGGGGCCAGGGAACTGTACCTCAGTTTTCCCTGTTCCCCAGCACTGGAAATACAGCTTTGTTTTTTAAAGACCAAACTCTGGAGATCTTTTCCAATATTTTTGTTTCTTTGTTGCATTAGATTTGAGAACAGAAGAATCTGCCGTTGGCTTCAACCTCCATCTTCCAGAGATGTGTATCCAACTTATTGGTCCCTTGTTGTTGTTATTCATTCATTTGTTTTCTCTTCTCTGTCCAATGCCTTGATAAGGACTCTTTGGGCATCTTCAGCAACACCTTTCAAAAAGCTGTTCAGCATTCTGTATGTCACTGTGAAAGACCTCTCTGCAGCTAACGTGGTCCCAACCACCGGTATCATGCTGATAAAATGTTTAACTACCATTAGACCCTCCCCTGTAGCCTCAGTTAGCAGGCCCTCAGCCATTTCTTTTGAGATATCTTTGGCCAATGGGGACTTGATCATGTCCTTCAGCTCAGCGACAGGCTTCCGAACCTGCCTAGCTAGTATACAGAGGGAAGTGTCATCCAGCCCAAAGCTCTCACAATACTGTCTCATGTTATCCACTAGGATGCCAATGTCGTAGTTCACTGAGAGAGCCGGGAGAGGAACAGCAGCAATGGCGCACGACTTCAGGGCTTGTTTCCAGATCTGCCTCTGCAAAGCCTTTTTCTTCTTTTCCAAGATTGGTTGGGAAAGATTGGGCAGGGCCAGGAGGAAAATGTGTTTCTTGTGACCTTTGAGTTCCTTTAGCAATGTTATCTTCAGTTTCTCAAAATCGTATTTCTGAACGTTGTGATTTGACACAAGGAAAACTTGTGGGGATCTCATCCCTTCTCTGGACAGGTTGCGGACGCAGTCATATCTGATTTTCTCCAGAGTTCTCTCCTCATTGAAGCTCTTTTTGTGTGTCTCACTGCTGAGGGCCATGTCCACCTTGGAGCGCACAAAGTAAAAGTTCTTCCCCATCCTCTGGATTTCCTGGGCCAGGATGGTATCATTTTCTTTGAACCGGTCTGAACTGATGATGATGAAGAAATCATAGCAATTGAATTTCACCTTATCCAGGTAATTGTTTGACTGAAATTCCGGGGTTCCGATCCCTGGCAGGTCCCAGAAGATGATATTCTTGTCCTTAATATGCCTGTACCCCTTTGGTTCTTTGGTTGTCTGTATTGGCCCAGTCTCAGCGGATCCTTCATCCTCATCTCCCAGGCCCCGGAGGGCATTGATGAAGGATGATTTCCTGGCTCCTGACTCCCCTGTGATCGCAATGTTGAGCTCAATTTTATTTAACACCTCGTCTGATTTCTGCACTACTTTCGCTGCTGCTGAGAGGTTTCCTGCTTCAATGGCAGTCTTGATTTTTTCATTTTCCTGATCAGACAGACCAGGAAGTGTGTTTCTGGGTTTTGTAAATGCCTTACCGAACACAACTGTTTCTTGTTCCATTATCCTATGGAAAAAAAGAAAACCCAAATTACATTTAGTCATTTTCCTCCCACAGAACAAAGTCAGCTAGGAATTGTAATGTGTGGTGAGTAAAAAAGAGTGCTACCCAGTGGACAGAACCCTACACTGGGACCCAGTTCCCCCATCTGAAAAATGAGGATGATGAAAAGTGCTTTAGATCTACAGATGGAAAAGCCAGGTACTGAGCTTCCCATGGGGCTGGCTTGGTCTCCCCTTTACCCAGCGCCTTAGAGAGTTCTTGTCCAGCTCCTAAGTTGAGACAAGCTCCTTGTTACCACCAGCATAACCTGTCTGCCCTATTTCCCCATACCGGCCTCCAGCTGCTGGGCCTCCCCCTTTGAAACACCCCTTCTCAAGCCTAACAGTGGCCCGGGGTGGTTTTAAGCCTCAGGGAGCTGGTTCACCCTCAACAGGGATGCGTTTGTTGGCCCCATCACAGAGCCATGTCTGTTGAAGATGGATGTGTAGAGTCTCTTCCCAGATTGGTGGTAGGGGAATCTGCATCTCCAGTCAATGACTAAGGGAAGGGAAATGGAGGCATCTGTACTGTCCCCCCCAAAAAATACCTCCCCGTCTCCTTCAAATTCCTCCATTTGTTGGAGTCCCCTCCGTTGCCTCCACGGTCAGAGACAAGGAACCCACAACTCCCCAAATTTCCTATGTAGACAGATAGACCAGAGACTCTGTCCTTCCTTCAACCCGGCTACACCTGACACAGCAAACCAGGTGTGTGCAGAGGCAAGGCCAGCCCACAACATTGGCACCAGAGGCGGGGAGCTCAAATGACACCCCCATGATCCCTCACTTGGGCCAAAACTTTGAAAGGTCTTAGTTCTGCCTTCTTCCTGTTTTACTCCTCTTATGTGTGACAAAGTTCCTCCACTATCTTGGTGGGTCCTGCGCTTTTTGGTGGATTTTCTTGCCTCAGAGATTCACCATGTGATTTGGGGAATAGCCCAGAGACCTTCCCCTCTGGAAGAACCCACAGTCCAGGTCAATTGGGAGGTTTGGGGGGAACCCAGGCCCACCCTCTACTCCGGGTTCCAGCCCAGGGCCCTGTGGACTGCAGCTGTCTATAGTGCCTCCTGGAACAGCTGCACGACAGCTACAACTCCCTGGGCTACTTCCCCATGGCCTCCTCCAAACCCCTTCCTTAGTCTCACCACAGGACCTTCCTCCTGGTGTCTGTTAATGCTTATACTCCTCAGTCCTCCAGCAGCACGTCCTCTCGCTTCCAGCTCCTTACACCCACACCTCACTAACTGGAGTGAGAGCCTTTTTATACCAGGTGTCCTGATTAGCCAGTCT